AGAGCAATATAATAAGTGGTTATATAGGAAAATATTTTCAACCACTCTAATATTATGCAAGTGGGTATTTGGGACTTAGATAAAATTTCTAATGATAGAGTAACATGTTCTGATTACAAAAGTGCTTTTCCTCAACTTGGGCAGAGCTCACATAATATGCTTTAAAATATGCCTTAAAATTATTCCAAAAGCAGCTAAAGTGATAATGAAGACACTGATGTTGAAGATTATTGAAGAGATTCTGGCAGTCTTATGAATGTAAGAGTGGATGAAAAGCAACATTTCTGAGTTATTAATTTGTGTAACATATTTTAAATATATATGCAAATGTTTAAATTAACCAAGAAAATATTATGATTGGGCATTCAATGATTTCACCTTTATTCATCAAGGTTTCTACATTTAAGGAGTTCAAACTGGGAGCTTCTCATTGGAAAAAGGAAGGCCTGCACCTTATAGATAAGTATAGTATATGCCCCCTAAAGTAGAGGTGTAATAGACCTCTTAATCATAAAACTCCAAGATTTTTAAATAATTACTAAAGGTTAAATTACTCAATATGTAATACTTCTTGGCCTGTGTTATTACAGACTTGACAAATGGAAAGTTGCCTTCTGTTATGCCAGAAAGAAAGTGCTGGAGGCATATCCTAAGCACATAGAGTTTGAAGGGACTCCCACTGGCGATTCTGGGACCATCTGAGTATCAAAATAATTAAGCACTGTAGGGAATTAAATACTGAGAGGAGAAGAAGGGAGAGGGGGTGGAATTCAGGTATCTATACCAATAAGTAGATAAATAAATAAAAGAGAAGGGAATGGTCTGGCTTCCATCAGAATGTCAAGGCTGACTGGTAGTAAATCAAAAAAGTGCAGGAGACAGAAAATTCTGATCTTGAATTCATCATAGTAAAGATTGGATCAGACAAGAATCATAAATGAATAAAGGAGAGAATTTTGAGGAGAAGAAGGATATTTTTATGGGTATTACCACAGACAGCTTACTGAGTGCGGAATTAGACATCCTGTCTAGGTAACCAAAGCAAACATCACCAGCAAGGGACAAATGGGTACCACCTACCTTCAGATATACCACCTAGATAGCAATAAATAACCTGAGAATCTAATCATGAGGAAATGTTAGATTAAGAATAGGGAACCTTTTTTCTACCAAGGGCTGTTTGGATATTTATAACATCATTCATGGGCCATACAAAATTATCAACTAAAAAATTAGCCTGCTGTATTTAGTCAAACATTTAATTAACTCACCCCTAATACCTTGGCAGGGCCAGACTAAATGATTTATCAGGCCTTATATGGCCCTCTGGCCAGACATTCCCCACCCTTGGTAACCTAATATGAGAGATGTTATATTAAAAAGGGAAAAAGATTTTTTTTCCCCCAAAAAAATGTCTCTGTCGTAAGAGATAGAGAAAGGCTATGAAAATGTTTCCAGATTTTAAAAAGCTGAAGACATATGGCTACTAAATGCAACACCTGACCCTAGTGTGAATTCTGAACTGGAAGAGGATAGGATAATACGGGGTCAACTAACAAAACTGGAGATAAATGGCAGGTCAGATAAAAAGTATTGTCTGAATGTTAAATTTACTGAATTGGTACATATAATCTGGTTATATAAGAGATACTATTTCCTAAGAATATAAAAAAGGCTAATATGCAATGTGTCCCCTCAGGAGTTTGACTGGAGACCAGGAGTTCTATCACTCGCTATGACATGCACTGACTACCAGGGGCCGGTGCAGAACAAAGGAAGGTCCCAGCCAGCAGCAGGAAGGCAGTCCCCAAATAGCAGCCAGAAGGCCCTGATCGACCCTGATCACCAGCCAGGCCTAGGGACCCTACCTGTGCATGAATTTCGTGCACCAGGACTCTTGTATAAGGATAAAACACCATGAGGTATGGAACTTATTCTTAAACTATTCCAAAAAACGTACATGTGGAGAGGGGTAGGGGGTATAGAGAGAGAGAGATTGAGAGAAAAAGAAACAGAGAAAGAGAAATTGAGAGTTTGAGAGATCAAGAAAGTGGTGCAAAGTGAGTGGACTAAATATGACCAATAGGCGATTCTGAGTAAAGACTAAACAGGTGGTTCTCTGTAAAAGTTTTATTTTTATCTCTTCTGTGAGTTTAAAATTACTTCTGGAAAAAAAAAAAAAAGAAAAAAAAAGGCTGAAACATTTCTTTATCTACTGCTCATCAAAAAAATCTTAAATTGCCGAAACCAGTTTGGCTCAGTGGTAGAGCATTGGTCTGCAGACTGAAAGGTCCCAGGTTCGATTCCCGTCAGGGGCATGTACATTGGTTGCGGGCACATCCCCGGTAGGGGGTGTGCAAGAGGCAGCTGGTTGGTCTTTCTCTCTCATCGACGTTTCTAGCTCTCTATCTTTCTCCCTTCTTCTCTGTAAAAAATCAATAAAAATATATTTTTTTTAAATCTTAAATCTTTTTTTGTTGGGATCAAAATGGTTTACTCACATTGTTAAAATCAGAACCGAAATGATGTATGTATAAAAGAATAGATAAAGTGGTTCTTTCACTATAGTGCACTGTATCCTTAATGTTCCATCCCCTGCTGCCCACTGACCAGGACATGTGGACTCAACAGAGCAATTACAATGACTCAAAATCATTTCAACTGGAAGTGCTCTCCACTTCAGCCCAAGTGGCTTAGAATTAAAATATTCAAAAGCAACAATACCTTTATCTTTAGCTATTTTTCATCAATGTTAAGAAACCATCAATTTTAAGACTCACAATTATTTTTTATACCACTAAGAAAGGGAAAAAACATGACAACTATAATTACAGGATGCCACCAATTGTTAATAACACTACAATTTCATACATGTTAAATATGAAAAGACTAGAGGCCCAGTGCACAAAATTAAATCACTCAAAGGGGGGCCCTCAGACCAGCCTGTACCTTCTCACAGTCCAGGAGCCTTCAGGGGATGTCTGACTGACACCTTAGGCCCACACCCCACAGGGAAGCCATCAGTCAGACACCCTTAGCACTGCCACAGAGGTGGGAGAGGCTCCCACCACAGCTGCAGCACTCACCAGCCATGAGTCCAGCTTCTGGCTGAGTGGCGCTCCCCTTGTGTAAGTGCACTGACCACCAGAGGGCAGGTCTTGCATAGAGCATTTACCCCCTGGTGGTAAGTGCACGTTATAGCAACCAGTTGTTCCACCATTCAGGCAATATGCATATTAGCCTTTTATTATATAAGATGTACCTCTTAAAATTGACAAAATCGTTTTTATTGTGTTTTCACAAACAATTAAAAACACATGCATTTTTATTGTGTTTTCCCAAACAATTAAAAACACACTCTAACCAATATGCTGAACTGGACTTCCTGTTATCTGGAGACTAGCAGTAGGATCTAAAGATGGGAAGAAAGCAGTTTAGATTCTTAAAAGGATATTTCTTGGATCATATGATCTCACACATCTAGAGGAAATAATGAACAACATAAATTGATGAACAAAAAGAGACCCAGAGAAGAGAAGCAGCGATCAGACTCTCAAACCTCAGAGGGAAAGTAGGAGAGGGTGGGGGTAAGGGGAAGAGATCAATCAAAGCACTTGTGTGCATGCATATGGGCCTAGCCAGTGGCCATGGACAACAGGGGGGTGGGAGCATATGTAGGGAGGGGTTTTGGATGGGAAAAGGGGGATGAGGACAATTATGTGATACCATAATCAATTAAAAAAGAAAAGAAAAAGAAAGTAGAGCTAAAATGCCTGACACTTTAAAGAAAGTTGTAGATATATAGGGGCCAGACACCTTCTCCTACATTCAGTTGGGACAGAGGCTTCTATGATGTTATCAGTCAGAACCACAACTGGCCCTGACCTTCACCCCAGCCTAGAGAATGAATGAAGGAGCAGTCATAGTACACAACAAAGAGGCTTTTCTTTCTCCGGGATCCTTACAATTTCTCCCACTCCTCTAAGCCGAGTATTTGTTTTTATTTCCAGTTTTGTGCCACTATAAACAATGCTGTAATAAACATCCTTTAAAAATGTCATTAGTGGTATACTTTTATTTCTAACAAGATATACTCCCTAGAATGGAACCAATGTGTCTCACTATAGGTATCTTTTCATCTTCATAGATGTTGCCAGATTGCTTTCAAAATGTAGGTACACACATTTTACCCTTTTTGTTCATATCCCCATCAGCTCTATATGCTATTTTTGGCAATCGGATATCTTATTGTTACCTTAATTACACTTTCCTGACTATTCATGAATTGGGACATCTTTACATATATGTTTGTTGGCTAAGTAAAGAGCTTTCCTATCCATACCCTTGTTTTTCTCCTTTTTTTCTACCAACTGTTACAAAATTTATATATACTATAGCTATTAATCTTTCATCTGTCATCTTTATTAGAAGTGTTTTTTCCAGAGCTATCATTTGTTATTAACTTTGTTTATGGTATCTTCTGTCCTACCAAGTGTTTTTATTTTATTTGTATATGGTCAATATATACATAAATATATAATTGCACCCATACACATATGTGTGTGTGTGTGTATGTGTGCACATTTATATATTTAAAACATATGTATACATCTTTTAAAGTTTCTTAAATCCCAGTAACTATATGGAATGTTTAATAATCAAAAATTACTGAGAAGGTATCTGTCTCATATATATAAATGAGGAATAGCAAGAAAGATGGATTTGACCAAACAGGGATGAAGAAGTTGTTACTGAAAAAATAGTCATTTCATGTTTATTACTCCCATCCATGAAATTTCAATTAACCAGTTATATCTAACTTCTTTAAGCGCAGAAAGTATTATGATTCTCATCCTCATCTTCATTTTTTAAATGAAGAAATTGAAGTATGGTGAAAAGCCACAGTGACTAATACAGCTGAGATTCAATACTATGTCTCTTGAAACACAATAACAGTGTCAATACAAGTTTGGGGTAGTATTTAGGAACAAGCTGCTTACCTTTCAATAGCTAATTCTTTGTTAGAAAGTTGCTGCACTGTAATCACTACCTTCTTCTCTATTCCTTGCTTCAATTTGAAATAAAATTTATCTCTGTCCTTAGGCACAGGACTGAAATATGCAGAAAGAACAGGAATTATCAATACAATAAGTAATACAATAATATAAGATAACCTATTCCAACATTAGAATGAGACAACAAGGTATTTAAGCAACAACACCCTTATTCTTAAAGTGTACTAAACTCTCATCCTGCCACACAGTAACTATCTATAATAATAAAAGCATAACACATGCTAATCAGACCAGATGTCCTTTTGGACATGCTTCCAGATGACCCTCCGGAAGCCAGGGCTGCGAGGGAACCCTGGGTCCCGGGTGACAGAGAGAAGCTGATGCCGGCAGAAGGGGGAAGGAAGGCCTACTCTTGCACGAGTTTTGAACATCAGGCCTCTAGTAAGTTTATACTCAACAAAACCTAACAGAGGTTAAAAAAAAGATTTTGTAAATTATATCATTTCAAATTTCAGTTTTTAAATTTAAGAAAATGATTTAATAACTTTTTAAAATTGATTTTAGAGAGGAAGGGAGAGGGACAGAGATAGAAATATCAATGATGAGAGAGAATCGTTGATCATCTGCCTCCTGCATGCACCCCACTGGGGATTGAGCCCAAAACAAAGGCATGTGCCATTGGCCGGAATCGAACCTGGGACCCTTCAATCCACAGGCCGGCGCTCTATCCACTGAGCCAAACTGGCTAGGGCATTAACTTTTTTTAAAGACAGTCCCATGTCTGATTTAGCTGTTAAGTGCAGTTCTGAGTTCTTTTAACACAGTGAAACCCTAAGCAAAAGAAAATTAGAAGATGAGCTTACTTTTAAACATCTAGAATATGAGATGATTGTGATATATCTAGGAAAATATACAGTAAAAAATGGACAAAATTATATAGATTGCAGCAGTCTAGCCTAGGCAAGACTGAATATTCATAAGAATTATTATTAAAACAATAAATGTCTAAAATATAGGTTGTCTTATCTGAAAAAGAAAAAAACCTTGAGTAACTTATTTGACCTAGGATCAATTTCTATATCTATAATAAACAGATAAAATGCCTACCTAACAATTATTAAAATTGAAAGCACAGTTAAGGCACTTACTAGTAAGTGATCATTAGAATATGATTGGCCCTATCAGGTTTGGCTCACACAGACCTTGGAACAAAAATCCTTCACTGAGTGTAAGGACCAATGGGGGTTAGGAATGAATGAAGAAAAAAGATGGAGCCTTGCCGTTTTGGCTCAGTGAATGGAGTGTAGGCCTGCAGACCAAAGAGTCCCCGGTTGGATTTGGTCAAGGGCACATACCTGTTACAGGCTCCTTCCCAGCCTGGGCCCTGGTCAGGGCATGTGCAGGAGGCAACCAATCAATGTGTTTCTCTCACATCAATATTTCTGTCTTTCCCTTTCTCTTCCACTCTCTAAAATCAATAGAAATATATCCTCAGGTGAGAATTAAAAACAAAAGAATATAACTGTGTCCTATTACCTGCCTATTTTTGAAATGGAGAAAACATTCTAAATATACAATAGAATTAACTGGTTAAGTAAATGATGGTCAAACCACATAATATACTGTTGGTAACCATTAAAAATAATTTTAAGAACATTGTAATGAAAAATTCTTATAAAGTTAAAAGAAAAATTTATGAATATAGAAATAAATTTAAAAAATATCTCCTAGAAATAAACAAAGGAAATAACTAAAATATTGAGTGTTATCTTAGCTGATAATCACTACAGCTGTTTTTATTCTATCTTTATTATTTTACTATGTTTTCTATAATAAATATCAAGACTTTTAAATATTAAGAAAAGCACTTACATAAAATATTTTAAAATAAGGAGAAAAGTGAAACATATTCATTCACCAAATCTTTCTTTTGCATTTTAAAGCTTTAAACAAACATTGTATAGTTTCTAGCATCTTTATATTAGCCAATATCATATTTCAAGCACAATATCAATTTTTATTCTTTCCAAATAACCTCACCTAAAGTTTCCTTTTCCATCATCTTCTTTTACCTCCAAGGAGACACTGAAGGTAAACACATCATTGTCGGGGGTAGGAATAACTGAGTCTTTAACATCAGAAACTTGTCTAGAAGAACGTTTGAATGCTGTACAGAAACTATATAAAATTCTGCTTACCTAAAAGAATAAAAATGGGAGAACCATTAGGCAAGGCTTTAACTGCATTTTTTATACCCTTCTCTCCTAATTCTTGAATCTGTAATTTAACATAACACAGTTTTCTTCAGCAGATAGAGTATAAGCATATATATATAGTTTATAATATATGTTATATAGTCTGTAATAAAGTGTATATATAAACATATATATAGCTACTTCTTTGATCTGGCATTTAAACACAGTAATAAAGATATTTAAGTTCATAAAAAAAAAAACCTCTATTTATTTATAGATGTGGCTAGACCTCAGAATATAGTATGACTTCAAAGATAATTACAAGAATGATCCCAGCATCTAAACCTTCCCAATCAACACACACAAAAAAGGTTTTAGCCCAAGTCATCAATTTCTCTTTTCACTTCCCTCAGTTCCAGAGGACTAGACATTTAGGCATAGAATGAAGCAAATACTGGCTTTCGCAATAAACAAACACAATAATATGGTTTACGGTAGTTCCCAGTGTTGTTCTGCATGTGGTTGTGATATAAACACATTGCAGGGTTCCAGAATGCATGCTGAAGTGGTCTTATCTATTTTACTAGTGTTAAGGCAGTCTCATACACTTCCCCTAAAGTTGAGAAATGTCACACACTATTCCAGAAGTTATTCTTTTCCTCACTTCCAAAAGAAGCATCATACCATCTCACATCTGTGTAAGCCTAACGCACAAAAGACCTTCCAAATTTCTTGGGCCACTCATGGGTTGAATGAAGAAAACAAGATAAAATAAGAAGGGTTTAACAAAGGTCATATTTTCAAAACCTCACATTGGAAGGAACAAGTAAAAAAGACTTCTTTGAATATTAATAAATCCTTCACTTTAAATAGAATGGTTTCAAATTACTCACTGAATTATATTTGTCTATGACTGTAATATTTTGTAATTTGCTTGAAACAAGAACACTTTCATCAACAGTAGAATTTCTTAAAGTATGGGGTCTTTCCCCATTTTTCTATCTTGTTATATTCATATATTCTACCTTTTCTCATACATTCAGTCTATCACATTAAAAAACAAGTAATTCTCAAACCTCCATCAGCCATACTTACACATATTAACCTATATTACCCTAAAGTGCCTTGCTAATGCCAAATTCATAGCTTCTTAAATATGCACTTTTAACTGTATAAGAATGTTTAACTTCAGCAATATCACATTGCACATAAATTTTTTTGATATTTTAATGTGTCATCTGATTTTAATGTTATATCAATGAATAAAAACAAGGGTTGGCATTAATAAAAACTGTAGGCCTCAAAACTTATACATTTAAAACAATGATAAATTTACTCATTCTTTCTGTAAATATATTTTGAACATGTTCGGTGCACTAAGTATTATACAGCAGTTAACATGGAGCTTGCACTCCAGCACATATATGAAAGCTGAATGTGCTTAAGGTAGGTGAGGACTTATTAGGTAAGCCAAAAGCAAAAATGTTTAGTCTCAACTGAATACTTATTTGACTAAGCTCAATAATTTAAGTGTTAGAGAGGAAAACAGAACCAAAGAACATGCTAAGAATAAGTCATTAAATATTGTGCCTACAAAGTAAAGTGTGAATAGGAACTTTAAACTACTTTTGGTTCTTTGAGTTCTCCCTACCTTCTAACCCCCAATAAAATGTGAAGTCTATTGGTTCCTTCTTACACATTCAACTTCAGCATATTTTTAAGAAAACACTATATGTGAAAACAGGGAAATATCTGTTTTTCCTGTTTTACACAATTTTTCATACATTTGTATAGTCAAACCCAACTATATTTCTTTTTTTCTCCTCTTTTATATCTTCCATTTCACTTTCTTTGTCAAAGCTATCAGCAAGCCTACCATGTCAAAAAACTTAGCAAATTCTAAAGTAGATGGCAAGGCTCAGGAATTTCTCTTTTAAAAGGTTAGGAATATGGGGCTGAGCCAGAGTAGGTAGAGAACATGGGGGGTGGGGGATCAGACTACACCTTTCTCTCTTTTTGGAGGAAGAACACAAAAGTACATTAACATCATTAATAGCAATCAAACTGCATTTAGTCCTGAATGTATCTTACAAGTTGCTATTTCCAACAAAAGGTTAAAATCATTTGTGAATTCTAATGTGGGTAAATAAGCTGGAATGGTATCCACAGATTAGTAAGGTAGAGAGCTTCAGAAACAATAATAGCCAATATCTATAGTTACTCAAACAAATTGGGTAACTAATATCATGACAAGAAAATTAACACAAGCTCTGGCAAACATTTCTATATATGCCAACTATTGCACGCGTGCACACACACACACAAATGTACTGGAATAGGCCTTTTCTTTGCAGAAGGCAAAAGTTTATTGACATAATACAGTATAATTGTCCCCCAGAATGCAGTACCTATACAAGACACTAATTAAACACAAAACTATGTTGGGATTGTGTTGTTTCTGAAGAGGTGAAAAGCAGAGTGCATGTAGATACATGGAAAGGGAAAACACAAAAATCTTAATTCTGGTTAAATTTTGAGTAACTTTTTTTTCTTCTTCAGTATTTTCCAAATTCTCAAATATGTACTACATTTTAATAGTTTTTTTTTTTTTTAAAAAAAGTGCTACTTTAGCCCTGGCTGGGTAGCTCTGTTGGTTGGAGCGTAGTCCTGTACATTTAAAGGCTGTGAGTTCAGTTCCCAGGTAGGTTGCTTACCTAGATTGCAAGTTTGATCCCCAGTCAGGGAGCATAGGGGAGGCTACCAGTTTGATATTTCTCTCTCACATTGATGTTTTTCTCTCTCTCCCTCCCCCCTTCTCTTCCCTGATTTCTAAAATATAACATTAGCCCTAGATGATTTGGCTCAGTGAATAGAACATCGGCCCTCAGACTGAAAGGTCACAGGTTTGATACCAGTCCAAGGCATGTACCTCAGGTGCAGGCTCAATCCCTGGCCCTGGTTGAGATGCGTGCAGGAGGCAACCAATTAATGTGTCTCTCTCTCTCTCTCTCTCCCTTCCACTCTCTCCAAAAATCAATGGAAAAGTATCCTTGGGTGAGGATTAACAAAAAAATAAATAAAGTAAATAAAATATATCATTAAAAACATATCCTTAGGTGAGGATTTTTTTTAAAAGGCATTTACTGCCCTGGCCGGTTTGGCTTAGTAGACAGAGCACCTGCCTGTGGACTGAAGGGTCCCAGGTTTGATTCCGGGCAAGGGCATGTACCTTGGTTGCAGGCACATCCCCAGTAGAGGGTGTGCAGGAGGCAGCTGATCAATGTTTCCGTCTCATCAATGTTTCTAACTTTCTATCTCTCTCCCTTCCTCCCTGTAAAAAAAACCAATAAAATATATATATTTTAAATAAAGACATTTACTTAAAATAATTAGTTAATTAAATAACATAGCCAGTTTTTCAAAAATAATTATTTTTACTAATATTGGTAAAAGAGGATCAACTCTTTTAAAAAGATCATATGTCAGTACCAGGTGGGTACAAGACTTATAAGGGGGAATCAGTTGGTAAACTACATAAATGTCTAACCACTACACTGTACATCTGAAATTGATATAATATTAAATGTAAACTGTAAGTAGGAAGTAAATAAATAAATAAATAAATAAATAAATAAAAACACTATATGTTAAGAAAATTACACCCAAAAAATAAGTGTAGAAAATCATTCTATAAAGACAGCTGGAAAGATATGTATTAAAATTTTTAAAACATCTTACTCAAATTTATTACTCAGTGAAAAGAGCTAAAATAAGAGGTATATGATAAAATAAACTTTTTAAAAATATATAAAAATCTATGGAAAATACTAACAGCATAGCTTCTGAATTAATTTCTAAAGTATTTTGCTAAAATAACATCAATAAAAACCAGTGCATTAAGAATTAAGATCTTCCCAATGATACTGTTAATATTTCTCATGAAACACCTCTGAATGCCTAAAACCAGGTAACAACTCTGCTTCTAAAACATAACACTGAGAATTGCTAGTAATGAATGATAAGTATGTTAAAACATATAAATAACACATCAAAGTCTGTTTTGAAGAAAATGATCACACTGACTAGTAGAAATAAATTCTTAAAGAGTCAACTAAGCCTTTTAAAGTTTCTTTACAAACAGTTTTGTATAATATATCCATAAAAACGTAACAAAAACAGGTGCCTTCTTGGCTCTTTTCTCTATGCTTTCTGATATTTCACTTTTTCAGCAGAAGCTTAGCCTGTCATTCTCCTGAACAATGATCACCGGCATCAGGATTCTTCGGGCTGGATCCCAACTTTTTTGCCACAGATCACTGAGACTCATTCCAACAGAGTCCTGCAGAACATCTAGGGTAGTGAGGCAAATGTGCCCTAAATCTTCTGTGGGGTTAGAACCCCTAATCCTTGTGCCACGGGTCCAAAGAGGCCATCACCCTCGCCAGCTTCCTCTCTGCCACTGCTGGTGCCTGTGCCTGGGACTCTATGGTGAAATAAGAGCATGACAGTACAGCTGGTAGTGGTGGCCATGTTGCTTATCCTACTTAAAAAGACATCTTCTTGCCTTTAACAATCTTCTACATGTCTCATCCATGATTCTGAAAACAATAGAAAACAAATTAATTAGCAACACTGCTACACTGTACATATTTTAAGCAATAAGCAATAAGAATATCTATCACATGTTCCTAAACTATCTTTGCCAATTGTATGTGCTCACCAAGAGAACCCAAATACTAAAGACTAAAGTTGTCCCTTCATCACAGAACAAGAAACTTCTGGGAACCAAATAACCAGACAACTGGTAGATGTAAGAAAAAGACTTCAAATTAATTAACAGGTAATTATTTTTTGAGGGGAGAGGAAGATCTTCTATAAAAGCATGGGTAAAAACCAAAGGCAGGTGGGATGCAAACTCTATGACCAATCAATCCCTTTATAAAGCATAACTGAATGACAAAAATCCATATTTGCCTGTTACAATATTAAAGCAAAAGGAAAGTTATTACTGAAAATTACATGGGGCTTCAGAATCAGAGACTTCCATTGGAAACCCAGCTCCAGCCTCTATTCTCTTAGCCTTCAGATAAGCAAAGGGTAACTATTAATATATGTGTCAAACAAACCGGAGCACCAGAGCACTTCTGAGAACACAAGAGTGTGCCATTAATAATATACCTGGAGAAGAGGGATAAACTATGACTGCTCCAGGCAAGGAGGAGCATAAGATCACCAGTTTAAATAAATACAATCTATGTCATGGAGACGTGATGAGAATTGAGTGAGTGCTCAGCATAAGCTCTATATTTATACTAGGTTATATTCATTTAGCAATAATGTTCTTTCTTCATAAAAATGTTTAAATTTATTTATTTTAGAGAGAGAGGAAGGGAAAGAGAGAGAAAAAGAAACAATGATTTGTTGTTCCACTTATCTACGGATTTGTTGGTTCATTCTTGTATGTACCCTGATCCGGGATCGAACACACAACCTTGGCATATCAAGCAAATGCTCTAACCAAATGAGCTGCTCAGCCAGGACTAGAAAGGATGTCTTGTAATAAAGTTTAATGACAATTATATATTCTCCTTCAAGCAGTGAATTTTACCACCCATGTCCTATAATGTAACACTTTGAAAAATGTACTCTAGAAATTCACAATAATACATGGAAATAAAATTTAAAAATACATAGATATCACTTGCTCACAACCTGCAAACTACCAAATATCCTCTCTAGAAATACTATTTAATACCATATTCAAAATGGTAAAGATAAGAATTTCCCAGTTTTGTCCATGCTTTCTCACTGTTAAAGATCTAAAAAAAATGTCAAAGATGCCTTGGCAGGGTGGTTCAGTTGTTTGGAGCATCATCCGAAGCACTAAAAGGTTGTGGTTCAATTCCCAGTCAAAACACATGCCTAAATTGCAAGTTCAATCCCTGGTAGGGGCGCATACAGGAGGCAATGAATTGATGTCTGTCTCTCTCTCTCTCTCTCTCTCTCTCTCTCTCTCTCTCTCTCTCTCTCTCTCTCTCTCTCTCTCTCTCTCTCTCTCTCTCTCTCTCTCTCTCTCTCTCTCTCTCTCTCTCTCTCTCGTCAATGTACATGTCCTTGAATGAGGATTAAAAGAATGTACATTAAAATTTTTAAAGACCTCAAAAATGACAAAGATTTCCCCGCCCATAAATAAGTGGATGCTATAATCCAAAGAGAGTTTCATACCGTCACAATTAAGAAGAATGCTGCAGCCAGGTCCCCTTCCACTTCCTTTTGCCGCAGTGTTTCTGCTTCTCCAAGCAGCAGGTTTTGCAACTCTTCAATGTTCACTTCCTTGCTGATGAGTGCCAATTGTCCAGAAACCACACAGGGATATTAAATGATGACTGCCAACGTGAAATGCCAGCACTCTACCAACAGAGTGTGTGTGTGTATATAAATGTTGGCTGAAATAGATTCAGAACTACTTCTCACACAGGCATGAATTCTGGTAGAGAACTCAATGGCTACAATCTAAATTACATGTGTCTGTGCATGTTCACTTTGGTGTTCAGGGAATAAAGACTGACATGCCCCTCGTGCTTACTATCAAACACACAGAAGTCTACATTTCTATGATTTTGCATGTTGTGGCCAGAAATAAGCTCTCAGAATTCCTGTTAATACAATGGTTGTTTACACTTCGTGGTAAAGAGCAAAGAGAATAACTGCAGCTTTCAGCATTTTCTACTGACAACTTATATTTCCCCAAAGCACACACACTGGTGACCTTTCTCATCCAAACCCATTCATTGATTAAAGCCTAAGTACTAAAGTTCTAAAAGGGCAATTTCTTTTTAATTTGGGGAGAATTAACAGATGCAAAAATGAAGGAAATTTCCCCATGTATATACCAGCCCTTTGATTCTGAATTATTTCTCCAGTCTTAAAAGAAACCGCTACTTAAGAATGGCTAAAAGGAAGTTCCTGGCCCCTTCAAAGGCCTCCAAGTTGACACCCTGCTGTATGTGAGCATTCGTATGTTTAATCAGGCCAGTTCTCTAGAGCCAAAGCCAGCTGCTAAGTGAATGTACATAACAAACAATCTCTAGTGAAACCACAGAGCTCTATGAAACCAATATCAAGTGCAAGCAATATGCAACCATCATTCCTGGCAGAGGAAAAGGTATTGTTAGAACCAGTTTTTCAAATTACATGAACCAGTCAACTTGGGCTAAATAATAAAAAGGTACAAAAAAATTCCCTCTTCCTAACTAATCCTGAGCAATGACTACCATGGTGGGGTGGAGGACAGCTTGTCAAGTGGCCTTTTCCTGTTACATCTGTAAGACTGAGTGTGCCCCACCTATAATACCACTTTCCTGCATAGTTATAAGATCTGATTTTTCCATATTCAGTTCTATGCCAGTATAAATATGCTCTTTCTCTTTAGAAATATACTCCAAATTTATATAATATGGTACATACTCATACATACAAATTTATGACAGTGAGATTAGGGCTCAAAATACTACTCTAATTCGTCTCTTTAGCAAATATATTATACTTACTGCCTCTTTAATTTCACAGGTGAAAACGTGTATCTGAAATTCTTCTGAACCATGGGAACTCTCTGTAAATGCAAAGCAATTGCTCTCTGTTGTCCCATCATGTCCACGTGCACAGAACAGCACCTTATAGATTGGAAAAGATGCTATCTCCATATTGCTGGACTGATCTATGATTCTGCAGAACAGTGGTGGAAAATGAAATAAAATATTAGCTATCAAAGAACAAAGGCAGTTTTACTATGCCAATAACATATAAACATAACTATCTTAAAATCACAACATAAGCTGTATTCATAATGTGAGAAAACCACTTATCTTCATATTCTTACTATCCTCTCTAATAAAAGAGACATGGTACATTTATTTGTTCACTCAGCAAATATTTACTCAAAACCTGGACCAGATACCACTCTAGACACTGAAGTAACAGCAGGGGAAAATAAAAATAACCTGCACCCATGGAGCTTATGTCTAGTGACGAAGGCAGACAATAAACAAATAAGAAATGAAATTGTATATAATGTCGAGTCAAAGAAAAGTGCTATGAAGGGGGGGGTGGGAGGGGATGACCCAGTGAGGAGAAAGTATATAGTCACAGGTGTGATTGAAGGCTACTGGAGGGCTGAATGTTGGGTTAACATCTGATTTACATGTAAAAAAATTCAAGATTCACCCTAGCTGGTTTGGCTCAGTGGACAGAGTGTCAACCTGTGGACTTGAAAGGTCCCAAATTTGATTCTGGTCAAGGGCACATGCTGGGGTTGCGGGCTCGATCCCCAGTAGTGGGCATGCAGGAGGCAGCCAATCAATGAGTCTCTCTCATCATTGATGTTTCTAACTCTCTCTCCCTCTCCCTTCCTCTCTGAAACCAATAAAAATATATTTTAAGAATAAAGAAATTCAAGGTTCAGATGACATTAAACATTATTACTAATTAAGCATAAGGGAAGGGGGGGGGCATTTTGCTTCTTTCCAATCAGATGGAAAGAGCTTAAAATGAAGGCTCACTCCAATTTTTTGAACCACTGTTACCTGACAAGGTGGAGGCATGCTTTTAGGCTCTTCAGAATACAAAAAGAAATATAGGTATTTTATAGTTATTCTCCACTTATATTCTAAGCATAATTTTGCACATGCCCCTTGCAAAGGAACACAGTCTAAGCCTAAACATTCTTACTTTGCATCACAGAGTAAAAGTGAATTAACAGTAAGTAGTAGGCTGATTTATGATATAACATCATCACCACCACACAAAATCTGCAATATGTCTAAGAGGAGAAATGGATTACAGCTCACCTTACAGAACCTTCTGGGACATTTGGCACATACAGAGTAACAGGAAAGGGGTACTGACTCGAAGATTTCATAGTTGCCATTGCCCGTAAAGCCTCCACTTCATTACGTGGGGAAGAAACCTTCATACATCCTAAGTAGGTCAGTTTGTTAAATAAAACACTATTTTCTTCTGGCAATCCACTTGGAGAAGATGGCCTGGGAGTAGAAATTTCTAAAGAAAAAAAACAAAACAAAACACTCAAAAGTCAATGCAAAATTTCACAGAAACATAAGAACCAAAGTGGGAACTCTCAAACAGCACTGAAAAGCTGGTGGCCCTCATCTTAAAAACAAAGTTAGTAGAATTTTTAAATTTTCAGTATCACTTTATAAAACTTCTCCTATGGTTTCTCTGAGTTCAGTACAATACCTGTATTTGATGGATCCAAAATTAACTGAAGAGATGGCTTAGTTGTTTGGCTGGCTGAAACACCTCCAAGTGAATGGTCTGAAATCTCACTGGAACTTTGACGATCCACAAGAAGGCTGCCTTGCCCTTTCTCAGAATCTCTCAAAATCTCTTCCATGGCTTTTTCCAATTGTTCATCATTAGAAACTATCTATAGACAAAGCAAGACAACTGTGTTTCAATCATATAATGATTCTGGAGCTGAATGAAACTATTTCACTTCTAGAAGAAATTAAAACAACCTAAATATTTGTTTAAATATAGTTACTTATATCAAGAATTTATACAGTTTTGCCTAATTTTACTAGATATAATACAAAATCCTGAATTTTAAAAAAAAAAAAAAAAAAAAAACACAACAGCCAAACCAAAAGATTATTAGTTTCAGAAAAGGATTTCTAAGAAAACACTTCAGGCAGTTTCCAACTACATCTGATCTGAGAACTTGTTTACAGATATTTCTTTTCTTGTTATTTTCTTTTTATTATTTCAGAACATATTCCAGAACCAAATAATCTTAAATGTATGGGCTTTAAAGGAAAAACTTGATAAGTTTAAATTGGCTACAGTCTACTATAATATAAAGGTCATATTTCTTATCGTAACATAAACATATTTCTGATTTCTTTATAAATTACGTTTTCTAGCTGTCAAGAGGAGTGTTGCTAATTCTTTAGATTTATGTTAATTCAGATTTTTCTTAAATGCAGAGAAGACACAAAAGCTAAGAAATAAATAACATCTTAAATACATTAATACTAAAATACAGATATTTAAAGAAATTTAAATAGTTATTTGTTTAAATAAGAATTTAAATAAATTTAAATAAAGCTACTGGTTATTTTACCAAAATTATAAAACCATATATCTTCAACATAATGTAAAATTGATATTTAATAACCTTATTTTTATATAATTTTATTAGATTTGTATACTAATATACCTTTGATGCCATACATAAATTAAACAAAAATCATTTAAAAAATATGTAGCACTTCTGACTAACTTTTCTACTCCTATTTCTAGAGGATAGATATATAATTCTCATGCATGTATACCTACCTGAGTTTGCTTGTTTTTTTCTTAGGAAAAGCAACACAAAAATGAAAAAGAAAAAGGAGCATAACCAAATACAAACACTAAAAATAAAAGACAGACATTTTTAAAATATTTAAACAAGTCAATTGTTAAATCACATACAACAATGTTACCAGCAGATTTAAGGTCATAAAGAAAAAAAGTGAAAGTAAATGTAACTATTTATATAATAAATTTAAACCAGTAGTAAGAGAGACAAAACTATTCAGATAAATTACATTTATGTAAGATTTTACCATTAAGTCTAATTCCCAATTATCCTTTCTTTCTCTTCGTCTAGTCCTTCTTTCTAAATTCCTAATTAAAAGATAAATAACCAAAAGCAAAAAATTTCAAAAATAATAAGCCTCTAAATACATCAAACATTGCCTCTATTCTCACAGTCAACACCTGAGAAAAACCTTTGGATTTTATACATCTCCTTTCACATAGTTAAAAAAAAAAAAAAAAAAAAAAAAAAAAAAAAAAAAAAAAAGCCATTATTTAAAATAGTATCATTTGTAGGAAAGAAAAACTACCTTCAGTTCAGGTTTTTCTTCATCTTTTGTAGAAGTATCATCTGCATGCTGAGGAACCAAAACAAATTCTTCACTGTTCTGTGTAGCCACATAATCCGATGACCCAGTAACCTTCTGTAATGAAGCTCTGACCTCCATTTCAGTTCTGCAAAAATCTCTTCCCACATCCACCTGGTCAAAGCCACAGGGATCAAAAACAAAAACAAAAACTATTTAATAAAAACATGAACTGATCAATCCTCAGCTTTTAAAAATGGCTCATCTGAAGAAGAATTCTGCTCACTAGATAGTTATCTCAAAACTAGGGAAGCTACCTTCTTGGACTGGGCCACATAATGGAAATATACACTCTTCACCCTGAGTTTCCAGACTAAAAGAACCATATTGTTCCCTGAAAAACAATACAAACAGGCCCATATCTCAACTATTATACTACTGTTTAACTCTATTTTTCTCCTAGAGATACTATTTTTGTTATTTTAAATACAGGAAATAATTAAGCATGATATTAGAATTATCTACAAATTCACACACACAAAAATACATTCACAGAATTATTTTTTAATTAAATCTAAATATCTTTAAAAATGTATCTCCTCAAGACCATATATAGTACTTTAAAAAATATTTTATGTTATTAAAATTAACAAATATACAATTCAACACCTTAAGCCATATATCTTTTCTTTTCCAGACACATTACCACTTATGAGATGAGGGGAGGGGGGGATGGTCAAAGCTTTCTCATTGCATTTATGTAGCAAACAATGTTACAGTGATCAAATACAGTGTAATTATATTTTCTGGACAGATCCCTACACCACAGAAACTCAACAATCTCCAAATAGTCACACTTTATCTCAACATGAATACTGCATAGCAGACACTGCACTCAGCACTGGAGTTACATGAGTGAATAGGCAGACTAAGTTGCCTGCTCTCCTGGAGCTGACATGTAATGAGAAAATAAGCAATGAAGCAAATAAGGTAATTCCATATATTTCTAAAGGCTATGAAGATAATGAAAGAGGTTAATATGACAAAGGTTAATGTAAGGAGTGTAGGGACAGCTGTAAGTAAGGTGGTGGGAAAGGATTCTCCAAAAGGGAAATATTTGAACTAAACCCTAAAAGACAATAAAAAAGACCTGCTCAGTGACCAAAGAATATATGAAAAGGGGTAAAACAAGTAAGCCAAGGTTAAATAAGAGAGGATCATATAACTATAGTAAGCCTGCTGATCTAAGCCTAAATTCCCCAAGAAATGTTCTTTTTCTCTTTCTAATTCGGTTACTTTGTTCATTGCAGCATAAAATTTGGCTGCAATACCTCATTTTGCCATTAGGTGACACTAACACCATTACTCCTGGCCCTTAGGAAAAAATTACTTGCAGCTTCAAGTTAAATTTAAAAATTTAATTACTTCCCAACTTCATAAAAATCAAAAATTCTACTAATATCAAAATAAAAAAATAAGTATACTCCTAGGCCAGTGGTCAGGAAACCGCAGCTCACAAGCCACATGCAGCTCTTTGGCCCCTTGAGTGTGGCTCTTCCACAAAATACCACGTGTGGGCGCCAACGTACAGTGCGATAGAAACTTCGTGGCCCATGCGCAGAAGTCGTTTTTTGGCCTGGGCGAGTCTATTTTGAAGAAGTGGCGTTAAAACACTCAAGGGGCCAAAGAGCCGCGTGTGGCTAGCGAGTCTCGGTTTGCCAACTACTGTCCTAGGCTAACAAGATAGCAATCATTTATTTGTTAGACATGTTAATATCTTTCTTTTTTTAAACCCTTCAAGTACAATACATTCATCTGTCCTCTCAAAGTTTTTCTCATTGGCAAGTTACATGTTTCTAAAAATGCAGTATGTGTTAGCAGCCAGGTCTTTACCTTTTCAGACTGCCCCATGAATCCTTGATTGCCAAAACACACGCCAGGTATTCTTTGTGTGGCCAATCCTTCTCCAAGTCCTTTTCAGCTACCACTCTTCTCCTTAATATCTACATGTTAGAAATTCCCCAAGTTCAGGTCCTGAGCTTTTTTTGATTCCTTACCGCACACTATAAGTGATATCTCTTATTGTCATGAATTTAAATACTATCTATATGCTGACAGTCCCAAATTTCTATCCCAATACAAAAGACTCCTCTAAATTCCTGATTTGGAACCCATATGGAATTCTTCTCAGTAAAGCAAATGTGATCAAAATGGAATTTCTAATGTCTTCTCCAAACTTGCTTCTCATTCTGATTTCCCATTTCAGTAAGTAAAAACACTTTCTACCAAGTTACACACAAAAAATACCTGGGTTCCTTGACTCATATCTACTGCATTCCTCACATCAGCATGTCAGCCCCATCTCTAAAATACACTCCACATCTATCCCATCTTGCTCTATATCCGTTTTACCAGCCTCAGGCCAGCAGGGCCTCGCACCTGCGCTGGGCAACCCCCTGGCCCCAGAGGCAGCCTGGGTTGTGGTCTCAGCCTGGGCGGGGCGTGCTCCCTCTACCTCCCCATCCCAGGCCAGACTGAGATGACAGCCTGGGCTGGGGTCTCAGCCTGGCCAGGGTGTGATCCCCTTCAGTGGTGGCAGCCTGGGACCACACTAGCCAGGCAGAAATGGAGGAATTTTTAATGTTTCTTTTTAAAAATATATATTTTATTGATTTTTTTTTTAGAGACAAGAAGAGAAAAGGAGAGCTAGAAACATCTATGAGAGAGAAACATCAATCAGCTGCCTCCTGCACACTCCCCGCTGGGTATGTGTTCCCAACCAAGGTACATGCCCTTGACCAGAATCGAACCTAGGACCCTTGATTCTGCAGGTCAATGCTCCATCCACTGAGCCAAACGAGTTAGGACTGTCCAATATGCTAAAGAAAACACCCTATCTAATAAAGAGGGAATATACAAGAGGGGCATTTGGGGGTGACCAAGGTATCAGGGGAGGGCAGTTAGGGACAATTAGGCTGACGTAGGGGTGTCGAACTCAATCAGAGAAGGGGCCAAAATCTAAAATCCAGCCTAAATCGCAGGCCGAATGGTTTACTGAACAGTCATAAACTGTCATTGTGATGGAAATGCTGCGGAGTGCAGTGATGACAGCGCGGTGCGGGCCACATTGCAAGGCCTGGCGGGACGGATTTGGCCCGCGGGCCTTGTGTTTGACACATGTGGGTTAGGGGGTGATCAGGCTGGCAGGCAGAAGCATTTAGGAGCAATCAGGAAGGCAGGCAGGCGAGTATTTGGGAGCCAGCAGTCCTAGATTGTGAAAAGGATGTCCGACTGCCTGTCAGACATTCCTCAAGGGGTCCCCGATTGGAGAGGGTGCAGGTTGGGCTAAGGGAAACCCCCCTCCCATGCACGAATTTTGTGCACCGGGCCTCTAGTATAAGAATAAGAAACAGGTCCAACTGCAGTGGCTCAGTAGTTGAGTGTCAACCTATCGGAGACAGCAGATTAATGATTCTCTTTCACCATTGATGTTTCTATATATCTCTCTCCCTTTCCTTTCCTCTCTTAAATCAATATAAATATGTCTTTTTAAAAGAATAAGTTATACAATTCACAGTTATTTTTTTACTATTATTTACTCAGTGCTTACTATGAACAAAACAGTATTGGGCATTTTTTTGTGTGTGTTCACAACCATCACTTAACATATTTGTATTCCCACCTAACAAACGAAGGAATGCATTCAAAAAATTAAATAATTTGTTCTAATTAATACAGTAAATTAAATATGGGGTCCAGATTTGAAGCAACCAAATCAATCTCACATTGTAGGGGTCTGTCTGCTAAAACTGCCCATTGGTCAAATGCCCATCTCAAGGCCAGTGGTGGGAGTGGGGAGAAACCAGGTTAAGTGCTTTAAAACATGTCTGCCTAGCTCCTGCCCAAAGTTTCCATCTGAAGGCACTATGGCTTTGGCAGGTGTCATGACTCACTGCACTAAAAATAAACTCCTATTCTTCTGTTCTACTCCTATGTGGGGGCTTTCACTTCTTGCTGAGTAGAGTGCAATACTAAAACCCTCATCACATTTTCCAATCCACCTGTACCAGTGGTAAAGCTCAATACTTTATTTTGTCCCACATGTGGCTCCTGAAAAACCCAGAGAATTCCAGAAGTGACTTAATTATACCCTTCTGAACTTCCAACTGATATGTGTAGTAAAGTCAGAGAAATAGACAGGTTTGAGATGAAACACTAACATCAAGAGAAAGAACCACAAGGGCCGTTTCCGGGGTTGGTGGGTTTCTTTGTCCTATAAAGTTGGGCGAGTGCAGCCGTGGCTAATTTGTAGGGGGTTTGGTCCCACCTCGTTTAAAGGGGCGAGAGCAGGTACCAGAGAGGCCTTGGGCGTGTGAAGTTTTCTTCAATGGCTGTGGAGAAGCAGCAGTCTGATTTCTAGTGCAGGCATATATCCCCCGGGGAGGCCCCAGGGCCAGTGCACCCAGTGGACAGCTTCAGACCATCACCCAACCACCTCCACAGCGACATGCAAGGGGCAGATGCAGTGGGTACCACAGCCTTCTGTAGTAAATCCTGCTCTGTGGAGAGGGCCACAGCACAGCTGATCATCTATGGTGGTGATTCATTGCAGGCAATCCTTAAAGTGGATTGGCTTTAGGAAATCCCAGCCATTGTTGTGCTAACAGCAATCAAGGTTCATCTACAAGAGAGTTTACAGCTCACAGAGAAGGGGTTGCATAACTGGAGTGCCCAGGGTAATCAGGGAGGCTGATCCTATAGAACATGTACTACAATAGGTCACTCTACCAAGCCCAGGAGACTTAGCAGCTCTACCTAGTACATAAAAACTAAACACAGGGAAGCAACCAAAACGTGGGACAAAGAAACATGTCACAAATGCAAGAACAGAAGAAACCTCCAGAAATATCTAAATGAAATGGAAGTACGCAAACTACTAGATAGAGTTCAAATCAACATTTATAAGGATGCCCAAGGAACTTAATGAGAACTTCAAGGGACTTAGTGAGAATGAAAATATTCTCTCACATCGATGTTCTTCTCTGTGTGTCTCTCCCCCTCCCATCCACTCCCTCTAAAACTCAAAGGAAAAATATGCTTGAGTGGGGATTAACAAAAAAAAGAAAAGAAAGGTGAATGCTAAATTTGGTATATAGGTAGTGTCACCTCAGTTT